ATAGTGTTGTGGATGAGTGGAACAAACTCCCGAGTACAGTTATAGAGGACAGAACGTTGTGTAGCTTTAAAAATAGGTTGGATAAATACATGAGTGGATGTGGGTGGGTGTGAGTTGGACCTGATAGTTTGTGCTACGAGGTCGGTTGCCGTGTTCCTCCCTTAAGTCAATGTGACCTGACCTGACTAGGTTGGGTGCATTGGCTTAAGCCGGTAGGAGACTTGGACCTGCCTCGCATGGCCCAGTAGGCCTTCTGCAGTGTTCATTCGTTCTTATCCCCTCAAGGAAGGTTCCTTGATGCTGGTGAGGGGCTCTTGATTTAGGGAATTGGATCTGTGCTCCAGTTCCCCGAATTAAGCCTGAATGCCTTCCACATCCCCCCCAGGCGCTGTATAATCCTCCGGGTTTAGCGCTTCCCCCTTGATTATAATAATAATAATCCTTCGTTCTTATGTTCTTATTTCCAAAATGTGACTTTCTGTTGGTTCTAGCTGGACCGAAACGTCGTACCAAGTTTAAACCTCGTATGTGCGGGTTATTTGTATTATATTCCAGTCACATTATTGTGCCATTTTCATTCTTGATTATTATAATCAAGAGGGAAGCGCTAAACCCATAAGATTATACAGCACCTGTAGATTATACAGCACCTGTAGAGTTCATTACCTTTGTAAATTGTGAGTTCATTACCTTTGTAAATTGTGAGTTCATTACCTCTGTAACTTGCTCAGCTATCAAAACTTTGGAGTCCAGTCCCTGGACCAATTATGTACCTCTGTAATCTTTTGACTACCGCCCTCAGGATGGGTATGGGGTGCATAATAAACATATTAAACTAAAAACTAGGGGGGGATGGAAAATATTCAGGCTTAATTCAAAGAACTAGAACAAAGATCCAGTTCCCAAGATCAAGAACCCCTCACCAGCATCAAGGAACCTCCCTCAAAAGGTAAATTCTTGATATAAATCAAGGTGAAGATAATGGAGTGGCTGTGACTAGGAGGGTTGAGACAACGTGTAAATGTTAAGTATAACTGACAGTATCAGCTTGAGCAGACCTCTACCAGACTACCTCCCTTTTCCTCGCTTATTTACCCGTCCCACGGGGCCATTACTGAAATATAAATGTGCCTGGGAATGTAAGTGAGGTTCAGTGAGTGAGATGTGACGTGTGAGGTGGAGGTGACTGTGAATATGGCGGTGTAATATGGGTAGATATGTGAGGTGGTGGAGGCAGGAGGAAGTATCAGCCTCGGGATACTCAACTTATTAACTCCAATATTTGTCCATTTATTCTTCACTTCCCCAAAATGGGGTTTATATTGAGCATTTTGTCAATAGTTTTTTTTAAATAGAGGCGTTAAATCACCCTAGATAAAGGATTTTTTTTTTTTACTGGAGGGAGGAGTTACAAGGTCAACTTAAGTTATTGATCAAGTGATACAAAGTTGTACAGTGATTATTGTGAATAAATTATTATATTCGTGAGAAGTTCCTGACTTGTGAAGGTCATTTGTATGTGTTTATTTGTGTGTTAGTAAGACATTTGTGATTTGTGGTATTTTACTGAGATGTTACGTACACTAAGTACAGTTGTACGTAAGTACACTTACACAAGTTATCATGCATAGTAACCTGTAAATTTTCCAAGATAACCCAACAAAAGTCCATTTTTGTGTCTTAATAAGACCCGTGTGATTTATGGCATTTTTCAGAAGATATTACGTACACCATGTACAGTGACATAAGTACAGTTGAGGCTCAGCTACACTAGTATAATTATCATACATAAGTGACTTATTTCCATTGGGGTCCTTACTTAGTGACAGGTAAGTACACTTACACAAGTTTAGGTAACAGGTTTTTATACATATTAGTGTATGTGTAAATTATCCAGGCTAATCCAACAAGATCAGTGACCTGACCCTAGTGCATGAATTATCCTGTTAGTACAGATATAATATTGAGAAGGTTACTTTTGTGACTGATCTGATTAACATGGGCCAGTATGTAAGTTAATTTAAACACAGGTGCACATAAGTACAATTATCATACATAGTGTAAATTACCTAGGATAACCCAAAAAAGACCAAGACCATTGGGTTCAGTATATAATGCCACTGATGATCGAGCCTTGTTTCTTATCCTTTCTTGGGGTTCTGTGTTTGTCATTGCTAAGATCAAACCTTCATTATTTCAACTTAGGTACCTTGATGCTGGTGTAGGGATCCTGATCTGAATAATTAGAACAAACCTTTTCCTTAAATCCAATCTGATTGCCTTTTATCCTCGTTATTATTATTATTACTATTACTGATTTCTTCTTTGATAATACTGATATTAATTATTATTATTGGGGCTCTGGTGGCCTGGTGGTTAACGCTCTCGCTTCACACGGCGAGGGCCTGGGTTCGATTCCCAGCCAGAGTAGAAACATTGGGCATGTTTCTTTCCACCTGTTGTCTATGTTCCCCATCAGTAAAATGGGTACCTGGGTGTTAGTCGACTGGTGTGGGTCGCACCCTGGGACACTGACCTAATTTGCCCGAGATGCTCAGCATAACAAGTGGCTTTCTATGTAGTAGTATGTCATTGTTGTCAGCTAGGACTGTATACCATGTACATGTACTTGTATCATGTGGGGTTCGAACACGTGGATAGGGTAAAGAAATACTCACGTAGGCTGGAAGTACGTATATTACGGATAATGTGGAAAGCGCCAAACAGCCGTGGCCTGCCTCCTTGCTCTCACTCGTAAGACTAACTAACCCTGCTGTGGTCAGCAACAATATGAATACAGACAGTGATTCACGCAGAGACGGTTGGTAGTGAGTCATCTACTGGTACACTGGTTACTGGTAACTGGTTACTGGAACTTGTACTACTACTGAGACTTGTAGTAAATAAAGATTATTATTATTATTATAGTTACTTTTAATTATTCTTATCACTATATTAGTAGTAGTAATATTACTATATTTCTATTACTGTTATTACTATTTTTATTTATTAGTAGTAATAATAGTGGTATTATTATTTGTAATTATTTTATTATTTCTCTTATTATCCCTTAAACTGTCCAAACGTAGATATACGTTTGCTTGCGTAGCGCTCTGAGCGTAGATCTACTTTTTTTTTTTTTTTACATTCTTTGTTATGGAGAAAATCAAGGTCGGAGCGCTACGCTCGCAAACGTAGATCTACATTTGGGCAATTTAAGGGTTATTATTGCTGTTATTACTGTTATTTCAAATATTATTATTATTATTATTAGTAGTAGTAGTAGTAATAGTAGTGATATTATTTTTATTTGTAATTATTATTTTTACTATTGTAATTATATCCTATTATTTGTAATTATTTCCTTTTATTTTTACTACTACTACTAGTACTGTTAATACTGCTACTATTGTTGCTACTACTATTACCACTATTATTGCTACAACTATTACTGTTATTACTGTATCCACTATTATTGCTACTACTATTACTGTTACTACTGCACTTTGACTTTCTTGAGTTATTCTAGGTAATCTACAGATACGCTGCTATGTATGATAATTTATGTAACTGTATTTGTGCACCTATACCTGAATAAACTTACTTAATATCATTACTACTAATTTTATTTTTATCATCTAGGGAGGTGCTAGATAGTTGGTTTTCTTTGTCTCTTGAATATTTGATTCTTTCACTGTTGTCCCCCTGAAATTAAAAGTACTGACAGTTTCAGGATTTAAAAACAAGAAATCTCAAATGGTAAAGAATTTTTTTATGAAGGTAATGATACCAAGAATTTGTTGAAGAACTTGTAGAATTACATAGATGCAAAGTTGGCCGTCCGAACACAATTTACACCTTTTTTTTTTGCCCACTTTGAGTCCTATTTTAAGCCAATTCCAGTGCTTAATTCACCCAGATTCTAAACTATTTCACTAGTCTTCCTTTCCATAATATCAGTTGAGCACAAGGAACTGCCCATTTAACTATTAGAACTACCATGGCCAACTTAACTCAGAATTCAGACTGTATGCATTCCAGGCACTAAAGCAAGCTATTCTCTGTTCATTAATAATGTCCCCCAGGCCTGTCGTCTGTTATACTTGCCCTTTATTTTGAATCCACTCTTGTCATCGTATAAAAAATCATTTACCCCATTTCTTGGATTAATAAATTATAAACAAGAATGATTGTTCATGGTTTAGGACATCCCAACAATTGAAACAGACTTAGTTAATATCCGTAAACTAGACTAGAAGCAGAGGGGACCTTACCCTTCCTCTGGAAAATAGTAAAAAATTTAATATTTGAGCTCTTATTTCAAGCTACTTCTGGTCCTGAAATGAACTAAAATCATCTCTGACTTCAGTAATATATTTTCCATATTACTGAAGTCACTCACTATCTTAAACACAAGGTCAGAGGTTTGCTCTTCCCATCATGCAAGATTTTTTTTTATGTACGTACTGTGTACACTCGCTGCACAGACTCATTTTCTCGTGTTTTGGATAAAGTGTACTACTTACAGTATTTTTGTTATGGAAAAGTGATAAAAAGTGGTAAAAGCACTGAACATAATGAACAGTGACTCAGATGAAAGCCAATGAAAACGTGAAACACTGAAAAGAGGGAGCCGAATACGTGGGTCCCTCCTGTACCTTTTCCTACATTGTTTTATTAATGGCTCCAAAAAATCTTACCTGTCCGATATATCATACAGTACACATTTTTTGAAAGCATGCATCTCCGAAACTTTTAGCCACTTTTGTAGGTATTTTTTTTAATTCTGTGATCCATTTTATAATTTTCTATGCATTTACAATACTATAAACCATTTAATTATCATTTCTCCATTCATGTATTTGAAAATTATCTTAAAATTTGCCAGTAATACTTAGGATTCTTGGCTTCTGCATTTATGTGGTTCTCTGGTGGTAATAATTTAAAGCTTTTAACAGAGATTCTTTTTTTCTTTTTTATGATATGCTACCACCCGATAGACAAGGATTGGCTCTTTACCAGTGATGCAACAAGAAGGCATGTTTGGAAGTCATCCAAATGAGGTACATAAATATTTAAAAGCATTTATTTAGTTTAAAGAGGGGTAAAATCGAATGACCTGTGCAATGATACAGTGGTGAGCAAACTCCTTAAAAACAGATACCAGAAGTAGATGTGACTGGACTCGGTCACTTCAGTTGGTGGAAAGTTGAGTGGCACGGCTAAGAGCTGCAGCTCACATTCTGCCTCCCCTCAAAATGTAGTAGGCAGGGGTACCTCCAGAAGTTTTATATAGGAGGAGCTTAGGGGTGGCAATCTGATTGGAAGAGGGGGCTAAGGGACTTTTCTTGAAGCAGTGTTATATTATTTTTATTTGAATAACTCACAGAATTATTGTGGAGCTTCAACCTCTCTTTGGCCCACTACTGGTAAATGGCAATTTTCAATTTTCCCAACCTGATCCTGTTCCTCTTTTGTATATTTTTAGCTTATGAATACTTTTTTTTTTATGATTTACTCAAAATTCTCTTATCTTTTGCAGGTGTCTACTATGTCGGAGCAAGAGACCAGTAGAAGCCCACAGAGCAGTACCTCAGAGGTTGGGGGAACCACTGAGGACAAAGCAGGGCCAGCACATGAACCCCCCGAGAACCAATGTTTGTCAGATTTAAATAGTTGTATTAGTAATGATAGTGGCATGGGAAATACTGTATTTTCTTCTCCAGAAAAATGTGACAATGAGGCAAATGAATCTTCAGATGAAAACAAAGAAGCCGACTTTTGTAATAACATAAAACTTCTTGGTAACGGTGATGCATTGAAAGTGACTTGTAACGAAGAAATTAGAAAAGATGTGCCATGTCAAAATGCAACAGATATTAGTGACTCAGAGGTAAGTCAGGATATTAAAAATAATATTACCTCTTTAAGTGATGTGAAAGAAGCAAAGGACACTGCCCATGACGGCAAAGAACACATCCCAAGTGTTAAAGAGCCAGTACAAGATGAAGAGGTCAAGTGTACTAGTAAAAGCGACAGTGATACAAAGAATGATACTGTTGAAACGGTACAAAGATTAGACGTAAAGGATGAGCTTGAAGACAGTATGAAGCATGACACTGAAAAAGACAGTGATGATAAGCTTGAAAATGGAGAAATCGTTGATGAGGTTTGTGTAACTAAGGAGAGCATTGACATACATAATAAAACTACGGATTGTGATGAAATCAACTTAGTATCGCTTGAGAATGGTTGCGAGACTGAGAAAGACAGTGATGAATATTGTTTAGGTAAAAAAGACACTGAAATAGAGCTAATATCTGTTGAGAAGCATGATGATGAATGGGAATTAGAAATAAAAAGGACATACGATGAGACAGAGTCAGTATTAGAAATAAAAAATCAAGAAATTTCAAACCATATGGTATTGAATGAAGACAGTGATGGAAAGCTTGCATTAGGGTGTCAGACTAGTCAGAGTGTATCAAAGGACATAGTGGACAGTGACCTTGGTATTGATTTGGATGCAATAAGAGACACTGACTCGAGGCTGGTGAGTCTTGTTATAGTGAAGATCAGGAACATGGTGATGCCTGTCAGGGTGAAAATGGTTGCATACATCAGGATGGAGTGTGCGATTCTGAACAAAACTGGGATTATGTAATTGATGAAGAGTTTAATGTGCCAAGAAAGCCAGTTTTTAACGGATCTGCAGATCAGCTGGAGAGGAGAAGCAGTTTAAAACGGAAAGCCAGTGATGAACATGAAGGTAAGATATGACCCATATTTATGTAATATGCATATGACTACAGTTATAAATTTATACAGTGGTTGCAGTGAACACGTATATAATTGGTATAGACATATGTTGTAATAAATTTATGTGGATTTGACCTAGGACAGCTGAAGTCAGTATGGCTTTTTTTTTTCCATTTTTTTTATATACGTATCCTTAATATTTAGTAATGCTCTTTTGTACATCCTTATTAATCTGTAATGCCTATTTATGTGACAGTATTTTGAAATGTTAGTTGTTTTAAAAAACTGTAAGTTTATTTTTTTGACTATATAATTTTTGAATAAAGATAAGGATACCATTGTATTTTTGTAGGTTAATTTTAACACGATAGCTTCAGAATTACTACCATACTTGGGAGGCAACTTTCTTTTTAGAATTTTAATGATTGTATTGCATTATACTGTATAGACTGGAATATTGCCATTTATTAGGAGTTCCATTTAAGGCAGATAAAACTGCACATCTGGAGGATGCAGACAACAGAGAATGCAAATTGCCTGTATCAGTTTAGCTAATTCCTAAATTATTAGTGATCCTTGAAGTCCCTCAGACTGTACTCCTTGGAATGTAGGAAATTCCTATAGGGATTGGTTCTAAAATAGCACACTGAAATTATTCCCTATAAGAGTAAGAGATTTGGCTGGTGCAAAGTACTGCACCCCCTGTGAAAATCTGGGAGTACAGCCAGCTCTGTAGTAGTAGTTAGTAGTAATAATAATAATGTACAGGTAATGTACTTTACATGTAATAAAATATTGTTAGGCGCAAAAGAAAGCCACTAGCATGCTGTGTAAAAGGTCCAAGACTTTTGAGCAGTCTTCCTTCATATACAGTTTGAAGGAAATTACTAGCAGATCCCTAGCTGTCCTCAAGAGGTAATTTGATAAGTTTTTTTGACTCGCCTGATCAGCCAGGCTGTAGTGCCTACATTAGACTTTGTTGACATGAACAGTTACAAAACAGATCCTTATCATGAGACCTGGGGGAATGGGGGTGGTGATCACTGGCCTCTAGAACAGGTATATTAATTGCCATATTTTAGTCCAAAGATGCCATTGCTTTACTTTAATATTTGTGCAGAAAATAGGATTAGTATAATGTTTTAATACGTGCATATATTGAGAGAAATGTCAAAATATTTAATTAAAATAGTTTAAGTGTTTGCGATAATATACGATTCCTGTAGCAATAACAGAAAATGACAAATGTGGTTGATAGATGGGGTAAACACACTTAGCAAGGCAAGCCTTTTTTCAGCATTTTCTTTAAATGTGATCTTTATTGAAAAAAATCATGCAAATGAAACTGTCAAATAAAGGCTCCCAGCTAAGTTTTCCATATTTACCACTTTAACTTTATTGGATTATTCCAGGTAATTTACACCATGAATGATTATCGTACTTGTGTGTACCTGTACCTAAATAAACTTACTTGGGTGCTATTAGGATTTTCTACTCCTACTTGTTTGACAGTTCATCTGGCAATTGAAAGGACTGAATTCCTGGTCAAGATAAAACATATGGGTAGATTTCTTAGGAGTCATTCTGCTGTTGTGAATTGCATCCTAGAGAAGAAGATTGAAGTGTCTCAATAGAAATAAACCATATTGTTTGGCTTTTATAGGTTAACAATTAAGGGTTAATAATACCAGGTTTTGTCATTTTTTTTTTTTCTCAAGTTGGTGAAAGGTGCACTAGGATTTAACTTTTTATTATGTTCCAGTAATGTAAACCTTACTTTACCTAACCTAGCAATATGCTGTTTTTTTTATTTGATAGGATACTGATACAGTATTAATCAGTATTGCATGAAGCCCAGCATTTTTTCGTTTGTCCGTACTGTTTTTGTTCTGCAGTTTTTTAACAGTTGTCACATTGACTAAAAAATTTTCACCAAACCTTGCCGTGTTTATCTCAAAATGTGTAGGTCTAAATTTCAGAATAATTGTTGGATAATTTGTACCGTACCATGTTTCATATTTTATTTTCTGAAAACAGCAATCAAGATACCAAATTTGTTGTCGTAGAGCAGTGTAATAAACTAGCACTGAAACTTCAGTGGCACTGGACCATCAGAGCTCACAATCTCTGTCGACCATAAGACTGATAGATTCTGTGAAAACTGGTTTGTGATATCAACAAACTGTGGTTAAAGACACTTGAGTAAACACATATTACATTTTATCAAGGATATTTTTTGGTCCTGGTACCTTACTACTTCAAAATATACATGGGGGTGCATAAATCTGGGGTGGAAGGAAGGAAGGGTAGGGATTTTTTCCAGGAAGGAGGGGTAGGGGTCTTCCCAGGAAGGATTGGAGGTAGAGGTCTTCCCAGGAAGGATTGGAGGTAGGGGATTTCCCAGGAAGGATTGGAGGTAGAGGTCTTCCCAGGAAGGATTGTAGGTAGGGGGTCTTCCCAGGAAAGGTTGAAGGAGATTTTGAGTGTTAGGGGGTAAAGTATCCAGCAAACCTGTGTTGAGTATACTGTATTTGATCAGAGTGATTGTAGACAAAAAATTTGTATTCCATGATGTGCTGTTGTGAGCACGATCATGTTTATGAAGGGATTAGGGAAAACTGGTTAGCCAGACTTGAGTAATGGAGGTGGGGAAGTAAAGTGCTTGCACTCTGAAGGGAGGGGTTGGGATATTTTAGTTTGGAGAGTCTTTTGAATTGTGATTTTTGTGCAATTCTGGCAAGATGGACATGAAATGAATAGTGGTGAGTGTGTTTTATTTTTCTTTGGGTTGCCCTGCATTGGTAGGAAATGGTCAATGTGTAAAAAAAAAAAAAAAAAAAAAAAAAAACAGGTTTGGTCGTGGGAACTTGTTCATTCCAAATATATACAAGACATGAGAAGCAGGTTTCTATAGGCAAAGATACATGTGAGGTAAGCTGAACAGTTATGAGTTCACCTGATGCCCGTGTTCTAAGATTATTCTAGAAACTAAGAATAAGCCAAGAAAGCCAGGCAGTGTGTTTATTTTTGAAGGGTCCCTTTAGACCTGTTCCTCAGTCGGCTAACACCCAAGTGCCTGTTTACTGGTAGGTGAGCATAGGCAGCAGAGGTTAGGAGGTTTTCACGTACATGTCACTCCTGCCCAGCATAAAACCTGTATTGTACAAGGAAGACAACTTTTAACAAAACCTGTTGTTTGCAACTGTTTTGAGGAACTGTCAGTGATTTATCCACATTTTAAGAAAATTATAAAACTTGTTGGTTTTAATGCTCTGACCAGGCTTAAAAATTTTGGCTGTCAACCTTTGATACTCCTTTTGTCCTTTAAGGAATAGGATTTTTAAGCTCTTAAAAATAATTTATAAAAAATACTTCAAATTATAGTTGTTAATCGAGTCACAAATATAAATTTACAGCCAAGATTGCATGCAGTATTATATGTATATACATATACTATATATGTGTAGTAGGACAGTATATATATAATTGGGGCCCTGATATTATATTCTATATGGAGTTTATTATATTATTTCAGGTCACTTTTTATGTTGTATCTTTATAATGCTTCTAAACTGTTGTATCTGGGTGCCTCTGCGAAAACAGTGATTATGTACGAGTGAGGTGAAAGTGTTGAATGATGATGAAAGTATTTTCATTTTGGGATTTTCTTTCTTTTTGGGTCACCCTGCCTAGGTGGGAGATGGCCGACTTGTTGAAAAAAAAATATATACAATGTGGACTTAAACTAAAGTGCAGGATATAAATTCTGTTATGTTGTAGTACACTGTATTGTTAAACCACATCGAGTCACTTCATACCTTAATAACTAACTAATGTTCAGTGAGTATTTACAAAACACACACCTCTCACATCACTACTATGCCACAACCACCAATTGCCATCAGTTACCCTCTAAATAAGTGGTCACTATATCACTCAACCTTACACACCCCTAATTAAATCTTCCTTGATGTAACTCTTGTGGATCTGTAACAACTGCTGAATTGGTGGTTAAAAGTTATTGCCTAATTTTGCTGAAAATTGTTCATTGTTCTGTTGGTAACTGATGTCAGCAGTAACTAGATGCCATAAAAAAAGTTTTCATTGAATTATATTAGATATTGTATGCTTTTTTCATTATAAACTATAATTTTCCTATAATATGTGTACATTTTTGTGATGCTATATATATAGTGTCTGTATCATACTGTTGTAAGAAGGTAGAAAAAAAGAAAAATGGAGAGAGAGAAAAGAAGAGAGAGAGGAATGTTCAAGTATGGGAAATAAGAAAATCAAATAATGAGGATACAGTTAATTGTAATATAAAGGTTGAGACAAAGAAGCAAGGGATTATGTTGCTCTGCAACATGGCTGGTAGTCATGACCAAACCAAATAATGGAAGGAATAGTTGGTACCCTCCCTAAACAGCAGTGTTTCCCAGGGTTAAGGCTGACCTTATTGCACTCATCGTGTAGAGCGAGAAAGGCTAAATTTCACTTACATGCTCACTAGGCATACAGTGGTTGCCTGAAATTCTTTTTGTAATCTGAAGTTTATATAAAGAGTAAGTTGATAATGCCTCATCTGATCAGCTTCAAATTTTCAACACTAGTGCATTCTAACTAGTACTAGGTTGAATAGTACATTGTAATTAGTAACTAATAGTGCATTGTAATTGTAACTAATAATAGGTTGAATAGTGCATTGTTACTAGTACAGGTTGGCCAACTCTAATCCAGCAGTCAGTAATCCAGTTCCATCAGTAATCCGGCACTAATTTTGGCTAGCGTAATTTCAAATTTCCGGGGTCGCCAGACCAACCTGCCACTACTGTTTGGTGGCACTATTTGCTGTGTAAGTCATCCAGTTTCTTTTTCTCCATATATTGATATAACCTGCTCACTTTTAGCCCTAGTCATGGTTCCAACAAATAAAAGAAATGCTTCTTCTTGTGTAAAGCACATACACCGTATGTTGTCCATAAAAGATAAGGTGGCTTTGAAGCCACTGTCGGTCGCCATGAGCTCAGCTCACTCAGATAAGCTGTGACTGGTAAATTTGGGCCTACATATGAGAGAATAAGTCTGTGTAGTAGGTGTGCACTATATAAAAAAAATTCTGCAGCACGTAGCACATAAAAAACTGCAACCGTGTTTTTGGTGAAAAAGAGAGACTTTGCCGTGTATTTCCGTATGGTTTTTATGATTGTATTCTCAATTTTTTTATCTCATTTGATAGAATGGGATATATTACAGAAATAGACATGATTTTGATTGGTTTCAGGACAGAAAGTACCTTGAAATTTAGCTCAAAGTAGCAGAAATGTTTGATTTTTGCTGATGTTCAGGAATAAACAAATGACGTCACCGTCCAATGTGTGTCCAACTGGCCGGTCTAATACACAGTCACGATTGGGTGGACATTATTTATACAATTGTTACAATAATGCAGTAGTCTGCGTAACAGTAAATCTTTTTGTGTGAATAAAAGTTCAAAATGGAATGCAAGCATAATATAAGAGGGGCCCGGAGATGTGACTAATGACAGAGAAAATGCTATTTTAGTGCCAGGAATGTCTGCATTGTTTATTCTGGACCCTATTTTGAAATTGGCATCTCTTGAAATTTGTGTGAAATTTTCCAAATTACCGATTTCTGACCACTTTATTGAGTAGTTGAAATTGGTAAATGGGCAAATTCCTGTACTCAATCGATGGAATAGAAGGAATACTAGCATAATAGCTATGAGTTTAGTAGATTGGAACAATGAAATGGACCAAAAATAGGGCTTAAATTAAGTGGGTGAAGTCACTGATGTGTAAATATCTCCATTGGATTAAGTGTATTCTAACCTAACCACTCTGTAATCTGGAAAAATCACTAATCCAGCACCCTACAGGTCCCAATGCCGGATTAGTGATGGTCAACCTGTACCAGGTTGATTAGTGCATTGTAACTAGTAGCATGTTGAATAGTCTTGGATCATGGACTTGCACAGTGTTCTCATATTATCGTTGCCACCCGTGCTTTTCACTGGGTTTATTTGACATTTCCTCCTATATCACTCCAGTGTGTTGTTAGAGTAGTGTGTACATTTGAGACTATGCCCTCGGGTTTCTTCCATGTAGCCATTTATATTTATTAATGTGCATCTCCCTCTTCTTTACTATTGAGAATAAATTTCCAGTGTTACAGTACAGGAGGGCCCCACTTATATAGCAGGTTAGGTTCTGGGCTACTACTGTAAAGTGAATAACGGCCTTTTTTCACTTCCAAATGCACTTAAAAGCCTGATAACGTATACACTATCGTATTCTAAGTGAACAATAGAGCTAGGCCTAGAAATGCATATACAGTACACATATTTCTCATTTAAAATATTTCATGCCAGTTATGAGTGGAAATATTTTTTTAGGAAAAGTTGTAAGTAGAATGAGTATTTGAAACTGCCAGCAAAAACACGTAAAGCGAAGCTTAATAAATACCCGCTTACATTTAAATTTCCGCAATTTTTAGAGGGGTAGATTCAAATTTTAGGTGAAGGTCCACTGCATAACTATTTCTCATCAAATATACCCATCCTTTAAACTTATAGTGAGTGGTAAAAATTATTAGCACATTCTTGATTATATATTGTTACATGTATTATTAACACTGGGCCGATTAGCCACCAAGCAGTGCTAAACGAAGCAATTATCAATACTGCCTGTCATTAACTGTTCATGCCAGAATCTTTAATGTGCTTTTGAAGGATTCAAATTTCAGAGTTTAAAGGCACTGTAAATTGGCCTCTCATGCACAATTCCCCTCCTCTTCTGAACCCTTCATATAAATTTATTGTAACTAACATCACATCTAAATATTATAATATTTGTTCCTCACTCCTATCAAAAGCTCACGCATGTGAGGAAGTCCAGCCTCTTAAAATTCTTTATTCTTCCTCAACCTTAAATACCCCCCTTACTTCACTACTGTCCCAAAATTCTATTTCGATATTCTACACAAGTGATAAAAATTAATTTGCCTTGACAACGTTTTTTCCCCCCTCCCCAATTACCAAAACCTTCCTCTCTTATATTACAACAAGGTGCCCTGACTGAATTATAAATACACCTCCATCCGACTTACTCCTCCCCCGACTTATCACCCACGCTCAACCCCTACGACGTGTGTTGTTTTTTTTTTTTTGCCCCAAAAATTTTGTTCCAAATTTAAGCACCACTACTCTTTTGTACAAACATGTTTATTTTTTAGAATCCCTGACAGTATAAAATTACGTACTAACAATCATAAAAATTAAAGTATTAAACTTACTTTGGATACCTAAATTTCATTCACACCCACAATTAAATGCATTACCCCAAAAATAAATGTGGAAAAAATTTTGGTTTGATATATCCAGTTAAAATTAAAGGTTTTACGACTTACGGGGCCCCCTCCCCATTTTACGAAAATTACGACCGGTTTTTTTCCTTTCGGAAAAAAACCGAACCTCAGTACTAAAGTAAACAGATGGTTAGGGTTGATACTTAAATTGGTTTTTAATTTGATTCATTGATGGAGGGAGGTGATAGAGAAAAGAAAAAATAAATATCACTGCAGTTTGCTATTCGAGCTGTTAGATAACTTCAGAGATTGTAACTGAGAGAGCTGACTAATGTTTAGTGGAAGAGTTGGTGACAACACTAGTGGCACCTAGCTATAAGAATGTATGTACAGTATGTTTCTTTTTTGGGTCACCCTGCCTTGGTCAGAGACGGCCAATGTATTAAAAAAAAAATACACTAGCTGTTGCCCACTGCAACAGGGTGACCTGACAAGAAAAACAAAAGTTTTTCTTCTTACATTTAGTAATTTATACAGGAGAAGGGGTTACTAGCCTCCTTGTTCCCAGCATTTTAGTTACCTCTTATGGCACATGTAGCTTATGGAGGGAGGATTCTTTCCACTTCCCCATGCAGAAATAATAATTTGGCCTCTGCATAAAAAATTTTGTTTGTGGGCAGTGTGCACTTTAGAAAATCCACAATATAAACAAGCTTATTGTACTTATTTCACTTTTCAGAAGCTACGCCGCCCAAGTGTAAAAGAGGCATCCAGTTCGAAGGTGTAACAGTTTTCTACTTTCCACGGTCACAAGGCTTCACCTGTGTTCCCTCCCAAAGGTGGCCTCTTCATTAGGAATGTCCGTCGGCACTCGCACATTCGGCAGTTTTTCTTTAGCAGAACATGCTGTAGAACAGAGAAGGGCACACAGAGAATATCTCATGAGATTACGCCCGCAACGAACAGCAAGGGTCAGTTCTTGGAATTAGTCTATTGAGTCCCTTTACCCCAGAAAGAAAAGGGGTTTTCATTTCAGGGAGGATTACAAGAAAGTAAAAAATTCATGAAATAGGTTAAAGAAAAAACTCATTTACTAGAAAAAACTTTGGTATAACCCATAAGTTAAAGTATATTTAAGAAGCATTGATTAGGGTAACTGCTCTAGACATTTTTTAGGCATTTGCTGTTACAAGTACTGGATATGATTCCCTTTTCCCTGTGTATGGTATTAGGTATAAAACGGGCTTTTTTTTTAAGTATGTCTTTACTGAAATTTATAGCACAAATTGTTTTATTAGCAATCAATTAAATTGTCACTTTATTTTAGGAGCGACGAACGAGCAGCATTTCGGGTAAGCAGTTCAGAAGACAGCGAAGAAAACAGTGAGGAGGCCAGTGATCTTTCTGACTCAGAATTGGATGCTGATTCCTACTACTTTCTTCAAGTATGACCTTAAGATTTTATTTAAGATAATTAAGTGTTATATAGCTATGAGACAGAGCCTGTCATGCAAGAGAGTTGATGATCTCAGCATTTTGCTTTTACTTTTGCATCATAATTAAGAATGTTGACTACTAAAAGTTACCAATCAGTTTTGTCTTAAAATTTTCTGGGTTGTATCAGTACCATTTACTTTTTTTACATGTATAGCAATACTTTTGATTTTTCTTCAAAATTATTCAAAATTATTTATATTCAGAATAATCCACATTTTAGTAATGAAATTATTAACCTGTACAACCTAGTTCTCATTATTTTGGTGGCAGGATATAAATATGGCTAATATAATATAATGAAGTATAAATGTTACCATTCTTGTAGTGTCAAAATTTATTGTTTAGATTTAATGTAAATTTTATCATCAATTTATTATTCAGATTTAATGTAAATTTTGCCATCAATTTATTCAGAAATTTATACTTGTGAGCATTGATAGACCGGAGTTCAAAAATCAAAACTTTTGGGATGTAGCTCTAACTTTTTATGGACTGTCATCCAATATATATTGACTGAATATATACTTGTGACTGGTTTCAAGAGTCTTTCTACTCCCACAGCCTGGCCTTGGGCCAGGCTTTTCTGGTGTTTGTCTTGTCTGCCAGGCTGTTGCTATTAGCGGCCTACTGATTCATAAAATTATTTGGCTTTGCTCTGTGCAATTCACACACTTATGGTTGTATTTAGTGTAACTTTTTTTTTATCACATTGGCTCAAAGTAGGCAACACATTCACCATTAGTCATTCTACAACTCTCTTGCCAAAACTATCATCACCATATAATCCTCTGAACAATACCATCCCCTCATGTCCTTTAGAGTGCAGTTACTATACTTCCCTTCCCTAAGAACTTGGAGATTTCCTAAATCCTTTCATAAATGCTACATTGTTCACACATCAACACACTTTTCCCAAAGGCACTTTGCATCTTTCTGACAATTCTTGAATACTTTATCCTTCTTTAATACACAAGCTATATAAGTACACCAACACTTGAAAAATTAACCCTTCCCCCCCCTCCCCCCCTCCCCCCTCCCCCATCCCCCCCCCCCCACCTATTTTCAACATCTTGGTCATAATGCGTTAATCACATCTGGCTTACTGTCTTTCATTCTACCTACTGCCTCGCACATTTCCTTTACACTCCCTCTGGCTCTTCCCAACTTCTGACAGATCCTATTCTCTTGCCTGAAGCTTTAAATCAATGCCTCCTTTTTCATCATCAGTTTTTTTTAACAGCCTCAAAATACACATCTTTCAACTTCCACCACCTTCTCATAAGCATGTCACCCTTTTGTTCCTCCCAAGTTCATTAGTTCAAGCATATAAAAGATTATAATACATTGGGGCTGATTACACTGCAGTTTGTTAAACTTCACTGCATTATTATTTTTCAATTGTTTGCTGTATTTGTATTCTATTTTTGATGCTATAGAGTCATGCAAGATTAAAATGAAACTGCCTTCTGAAAGCAGGGTTATCACTGCTTCCACCTGTGCACATTTTAGGATGTACATGTTTATAGAGGGGCATTATTTAGTTATAGCTACAGTTAGAATAAGGGTAGATGGGAAAAGAGGAAGGTGGCAACAACAAGTAAGGGGGAGGTGAAAGTGTATAAACTAAGGGAGGGGGGAATTTTCGGGTGAGATATAAGGACTATTGGCAGAAAGGTGGGCTAGTGCAAAGATGATAGTGGGGGGGTTGAAGAGGGTTGGAATAGTTTTAAAATGCAGTATTAGAATGTGGGGCAGAAGTTTGTGGTTATAGGGGGTGGGGCAGGAGGAAAGAGGAGTGTTGGGGGGAATGAAAAAGTTAAGGGTGTGAAAAAAGAGAAAAAGGTAGCTTATGAGAGGTTTTACAAAGCAGAAGTGTTATAAGAAGAGGCAGAGTATATGAAGAGTAAAAGAAAGGTTTAAAGAGGGGGTGAGAGAGTGCAAAAGGAGAGCAGGTGATAGAGTGGGGAGGCACTGTCAAAAAATTTTAAATTTGAAAATAAGAAAAAATTTTGGAGTGAGTTTTAAAAAAGTTAAGAAAGCCTAGGGAAAGTATGGATTTGTCAGTTAAAAAAAGAGTAGGGGAGTTAGTAGATGGGGAGATGGAGGTATTAGGTAGATGGGGAGAATATTTTGAGGAACTTTTAAATGTTTTAAAGGGAAAAAAGAGAGGCAGTAATTTCATGCACTGGTCAGGGAGGTATTTCCCTCTTTTAGGAGTGAAGAAGAGCAGAATGTAAGTGTGGGGGAGGTACGTGAGGCATTACGTAGAATGAAAGGGGGTAAAGGGAGCTGGGAACTGATGGGATCATGACAGAAATGTTAAAAGCAGGGGGGATATAGTGTTGGAGTGCTTGGTACTTTTGTTTTAAAAAATGTATGAAAGAGGGGAAGGGACCTAGGGATTGGCGGGAGGAGATGTTATAGTCCCTTTTATATAAAGGGAAAGGGGACAAAAAAGAATGTAAAAATTATAGAGGAATAAGTTTTACTGAGTATACCAGGAAAAAATGTACGGTAGGTTATAATTGAAAGAATTAGAGGGTAAGACGAATGTAGGATTGCGGATGAGCAAGGGGTTTTCAGAGTGGGTAGGGGATGTGTAGATCAAGTGTTTCATTGAAGCATATATGTGAACAGTATTTAGATAAAGGTAGGGAAGTTTTTATTTCAATTAAAGGATTTAGAAAAGGCATATGATAGAGTGGATAGAGGAGCAATGTGCAGATGTTGCAAGTATATGGAATAGGTGGTAAGTTTTTAAATGCTGTAAAGAGTTTTTATGAGGGTAGTGAGGCCAGGTTAGGGTGTGTAGAAGAGAGGGAGACTACTTCCAGTAAAAGTAGGTCCCTTTGACAGGGATTGTAATGTCACCAAGGTTGTTTAATATATTTAAGATGGGGTTGTAAAGGAAGTAAATGCTAGGGTGTTCGGAAGAGGGTGGGAATTAAATTTTTGGGGAATCAAATTCCCAAAAAGGGAATTGACAAGTTACTTTTTGCTGATGATACTGTGCTTATGGGAGATTCTAAAGAAAATTTTCAAAGGTTAGTGGATGAGTTTGGGAATGTGTGTAAAGGTAGAAAGTTGAAAGTGAACATAAAAAAGAGTAAGGTGATGAGGGTATCAAATGATTTAGATAAAGAAAAATTGGATATCAAATTGGGGAGGAGGAGTATGGAAGAAGTGAATGTTTTCAGATACTTGGGAGTTGACGTGTCGGCGGATGGATTTATGAAGGATGAGGTTAATCATAGAATTGATGAGGGAAAAAAGGTGAGTGGTGCGTTGAGGTATATGTGGAGTCAAAAAACGTTATCTATGGAGGCAAAGAAGGGAATGTATGAAAGTATAGTAGTACCAACACTCTTATATGGGTGTGAAGCTTGGGTGGTAAATGCAGCAGCAGGAGATGGTTGGAGGCAGTGGAGATGTCCTGTTTAAGGGCAATGTGTGGTGTAAATATTATGCAGAAAATTTGGAGTGTGGAAATTAGGAAAAGGTGTGGAGTTAATAAGAGTATTAGTCAGAGGGCAGAAGAGGGGTTGTTGAGGTGGTTTGGTCATTTAGAGAGAATGGATCAAAGTAGAATGACATGGAAAGCATATAAATCTATAGGGGAAGGAAGGCAGGGTAGGGGTCATCCTCGAAAGGGTTGGAGAGAGGGGGTAAAGGAGGTTTTGTGGGCGAGGGGCTTGGACTTCCAGCAAGCGTGCGTGAGCGTGTTAGATAGGAGTGAATGGAGACGAATGGTACTTGGGACTTGACGATCTGTTGGAGTGTGAGCAGGGTAATATTTAGTGAAGGGATTCAGGGAAACCGGTTATTTTCATATAGTCGGACTTGAGTTCTGGAAATGGGAAGTACAATGCCTGCTCTTTAAAGGAGGGGTTTGGGATATTGGCAGTTTAGAGGGATATGTTGTGTATCTTTATATGTGTATGCTTCTAAACTGTTGTATTCTGAGCACCTCTGCAAAAAACAGTGATAATGTGCGAGTGTGGTGAAAGTGTTGAATGATGATGAAAGTATTTTCTTTTTGGGGATTTTCTTTCTTTTTTGGGTCACCCTGCCTCGGTGGGAGACGGCCGACTTGTTGAAAAAAAAAAAAATTATAAAGGAGGCAAATGACGTGACAGCTTGAAGGAAACTGGGTATAAATGCATTCATTTAGGGCACTTTATTGTAAGTGTTTCGGTCCTTAGGACCTTGACCTAAACGAATGCATTCGTGTCTGTTTCTCTTGAGTTAATTTTTCTTTTTTTTGTGTAATGTTTCCTTTTCTATTTGTGGACTGATGTGAAACTGTTGTGATGGGTGATGATCCCTTTAACTATTCAGACATAATCAACAACAGGCAGCAGTCTTCAGGTTAAAATGCTCTTCCTCCAGACAAGTAATTTAGTGCCAGTAGTTTCTGTTCGTTGTATTTTTTCTGTAGTATTTTTACAACATTTTCACTTGTGTAAAGATTATATATTAGTGATAATGGCACAGCATTATAAGCATTTTTTATTCTGCATAAGTGTATAAACTCCCATTGGTGTGTTGCCAGGTAATAACAAACTATATATAATTAACTGTGTAAGGGGTACAGAGAATTAAACTGGAGTCCTTGCAATTGTAAATCCACAGCTATACTGATGCAGACATGGTGTACAAAAGATTTTTATGTGGATAGCCCTAACTGTTGTTGAATTTGTGTTGTTATCCACACATCCCCAGAGAAAAGTTTTGTAAACTCTTTGGCTGAGTCAGTGTAGCTGTAGACTTGCAATTGCAAGGACACCAGTTTGGTTCCTATTCTTCTCACAATTTGCTACTCTAGAAATGTGTAACATTTACATTTTTTCAAACCATGTATTATTTATCCCCAGCCTTTACCAATCCGTCAGCGACGAGCTCTTTTGCGTCAGGCTGGAATCTGTCATATTGAGGGTCTTGAGAAGGAGGAATGCAAGGATATCAGGATGTCAAGAGAGATGTGTGGGTGCCAGTGTAAAGTGTACTGCGACCCAGACACCTGCCAGTGTGCTGAGGCAGGAATAAAGTGCCAGGTCAGTCAACATTTTTTTACCTCAGTGGATTTGCTAATTTTAGGTCTTTTCGCAGACAAGTGCTCCTTGACTTACAATGGGTTATGTTCCAACAAACCCATTTAAGTAAAAAATGACGTAAGTCATATATGAGCATGATATGCTAAATAAATAAGTAAATAAATCTGTCACTGAATGAGTAAATAAAGAGAGAATTACTGTAACTAAATACCAGTCCTAGGTAGTAGGTTGGTAGACAGCAGCTGCCCAGGGAGGTACTACCATCCTGCCAGGTGAGTGTAAAATGAAAGCCTGTAATTGTTTTACACGATGGTAGGATTGCTGGTGTCTTTTTTTCTGTCTCGTAAACATGCAAGATTTCTGATACGTCTTGCTACTTCTACTTACACTTAGGTCACACTACACATGCATATACAAACATGTATATACACACCCCTCTGGGTTTTCTTCTATTTTCTTACTAGTTCTTGTTCTTGTTTATTTCCTCTTATCTCCATGGGGAAGTGGAACAGAATTCTTCCTCCGTAAGCCATACGTGTTGTAAGAGGCGACTAAAATGCCGGGAGCAAAGGGCTAGTAACCCCTTCTCCTGTATATATTACTAAATGTAAAAGGAGAAACTTTCGTTTTTCCTTTTGGGCCACCCCGCCTCGGTGGGATACGGCCGGTGTGTTGAAAGAAAGAAGAAAAGGAGAAACTATAATTTTTCTTTTTGGGCCACCCTGCCTCATGGGATTACTCAGTCAGTGTGTTGAAAAAGCGAAATACCAGTGAACTGTAAAGTTAATAATATGAATACAAGTGTGAATTGCCACTTGCATTCTGAGGTAGATTAGGTCGGGAGTAATTGTGCACCTATAGTAAAGGTCGGAATATATGTCCGAGAGGGCGACTGTATTATTTTTTAATAGGAGTCCTGAAGGTGGGAAGTACATTGCCTGCACTCTGAAGGAGGGGTGGAGGTGGGAAGTACATTGCCTGCACTCTGAAGGAGGGGTAGAGGTGGGAAGTACATTGCCTGCACTCTGAAGGAGGGGTGGAGGTGGGAAGTACATTGCCTGCTCTCTGAAGGAGAGGTGGAGGTGGGAAGTACATTGCCTGCACTCTGAAGGAGGGGTGGAGGTGGGAAGTACATTGCCTGCACTCTGAAGGAGGGGTAGAGGTGGGAAGTACATTGCCTGCACTCTGAAGGAGGGGTAGAGGTGGGAAGTACATTGCCTGCACTCTGAAGGAGGGGTAGAGGTGGGAAGTACATTGCCTGCACTCTGAAGGAGGGGTGGAGGTGGGAAGTACATTGTCTGCACTCTGAAGGAGGGGTGGAGTTATGTTGCAGTTTTTGAACTGTAATATCTGTACGCCTCTGGCAAGACAGCGATGGAGTGAGTGATGATGAAAGTCTTTTTCTCTTTTTTGGGCCTCGTTGCCTCGGTGGGAAACGGCCAATGTGTAAAAAAAAAAAAAAACTGAATTGAGTAATACATTTCTCATATCAAATGAGAAAGAAATTTTCATTTATAAAATAATTACTGGCATAGACATGAGTCAGTGTGGGCATAACTTTTGTAAGAATAATATTGGCAATGGTCATTCCTGTATAACCCTTCAAGGATGGGGGGTTGCCTTGATAAGAGGGGAAAATCTCTTGATTCAAGATTTTGGAGCTACCCTCCCTTTCCTTGGATCATATCTGATTACTTCTTATTCTCCCAGACACTATGTGACCCATACAGGTTTGCTGCCTCCCCTATAATGCACTAATAATAATTTTATTTTCTCTCAACAAACTGGCCATATCTCACCGAGGCAGAGTGACTAAAAAATAAAAATAAAAGTTTTCTCTTTTTAAATTTAGTAATTTATCAAGGAGAAGGGGTTACTAGCCCTTTGCTTCAGGCATTTTAGTCAACTTTTATGATGCGCATGGCTCATACAAGAATTCTTTTCCACTTCCCCATGGAGATAAGAAGTAAAGAACAAGATCCATTAAGAAAATAGAAAAATCCCAGATGGGTGTGTGCATATATATGCATGTAAGCCATGCGTGTCGTAAGAGGCGACTAAAATGCCCGGAGCAAGGGGCTAGTAACCCCTTCTCCTGTATATATTGCTAAATTTGGAAGGAGAAACTTTCGTTTTTCCTTTTGGGCCACCCCACCTCGGTGGGATACGGCTGGTACGTTGAAAGAAGAAGAAAGATGTGCATGTGAAATATGGCCTAAGTGTAAGTAGAAATAACAAGGCGTACCTAATATCTTGCGTGTACTAATAATTTTTTTTTTTTTTTTTTTCAACAAGTCGGCCGTCTCCCACCGAGGCAGGGTGACCCAAAAAAGAAAGAAAATCCCCAAAAAGAAAATACTTTCATCATCATTCAACACTTTCACCACACTCGCACATTATCACTGTTTTTGCAGAGGTGCTCAGAATACAACAGTCTAGAAGCATAAACATATAAAGATACACAACATATCCCTCCAAACTGCCAATATCCCAAACCCCTCCTTTAAAGTGCAGGCATTGTACTTCCCATTTCCAGGACTCAAGTCGACTATATGAAAATAACCGGTTTCCCTGAATCCCTTCACTAATATTACCCTGCTCACACTCCAACAGATCGTCAGGTCCCAAGTACCATTCGTCTCCATTCACTCCTATCTAACACGCTCACGCACGCTTGCTGGAAGTCCAAGCCCCTTACCCACAAAACCTCCTTTACCCCCTCTCTCCAACCCTTTCGAGGACGACCCCTACCCCGCCTTCCTTCCCCTATAGATTTATATGCTTTCCATGTCATTCTACTGTGATCCATTCTCTCTAAATGACCAAACCACCTCAACAACCCCTCTTCTGCCCTCTGACTAATACTTTTATTAACTCCACACCTTCTCTAATTTCCACACTCCGAATTTTCTGCATAATATTTACACCACACATTGCCCTTAAACAGGACATCTCCGCTGCCTCCAACCGTCTCCTCGCTGCTGCATTTACCACCCAAGCTTCACACCCATATAAGAGTGTTGGTACTACTATACTTTCATACATTCCCTTCTTTGCCTCCATAGATAACGTTTTTTTGACTCCACATATACCTCAACGCACCACTCACCTTTTTTCCCTCATCAATTCTATGATTAACCTCATCCTTCATAAATCCATCCGCCGACACGTCAACTCCCAAGTATCTGAAAACATTCACTTCTTCCATACTCCTCCTCCCCAATTTGATATCCAATTTTTCTTTATCTAAATCATTTGACACCCTCATCACCTTACTCTTTTCTATGTTCACTTTCAACTTTCTACCTTTACACACATTCCCAAACTCATCCACTAACCTTTGCAATTTTTCTTTAGAATCTCCCATAAGCACAGTATCATCAGCAAAAAGTAACTGTGTCAATTCCCATTTTGAATTTGATTCCCCATAATTTAATCCCACCCCTTCCCAAACACCCTAGCATTTACTTCCTTTACAACCCCATCTATAAATATATTAAACAACCATGGTGACATTACACATCCCTGTCTAAGACCTACTTTTACCGGGAAGTAGTCTCCCTTCTTCTACACACCCTAACCTGAGCCTCACTATCCTCATAAAAACTCTTTACAGCATTTAATAACTTACCACCTATTCCATATACTTGCAACATCTGCCACATTGCTCCTCTATCCACTCTATCATATGCCTTTTCTAAATCCATAAATGCAATAAAAACTTCCCTATCTTTATCTAAATACTGTTCACATATATGCTTCAATGTAAACACCTGATCTACACATCCCTACCCACTCTAAAACCTCCTTGCTCATCCGCAATCCTACATTCTGTCTTACCTCTAATTCTTTCAATTATAACCCTACCGTACACTTTTCCTGGTATACTCAGTAAGCTTATTCCTCTATAATTTTTACAGTCTCTTTTGTCCCCTTTCCCTTTATATAAAGGGACTATACATGCTCTCGTGCCAAATCCCTAGGTACCTTCCCTCTTTCATACATTTATTAAACAAAAGTACCAACCACTCCAACACTATATCCCCCCCTGCTTTTAACATTTCTGTCATGATCCCATCAGTTCCAGCTGCTTTACCCCCTTTCATTTTACGTAATGCCTCACGTACCTCCCCCACACTTACATTCTGCTCTTCTTCACTCCTAAAAGATGGTATACCTCCCTGACCAGTGCATGAAATTACTGCCTCCCTTTCTTCCTTAACATTTAAAAGTTCCTCAAAATATTCTCGCCATCTACCCAATACCTCCATCTCCCCATCTACTAACTCCCCTACTCTGTTTTTAACTGACAAATCCATATTTTCCCTAGGCTTTCTTAACTTGTTTAACTCCAAAATTTTTTCTTATTTTCATTAAAATTTCTTGACAGTGCCTCTCCCACTCTATCATCTGCTCTCCTTTTGCACTCTCTCACCACTCTCTTTACCTTTCTTTTACTCTCCATATACTCTGCTCTTCTTATAACACTTCTGCTTTGTAAAAACCTCTCATAAGCTACCTTTTTCTCTTTTATCACACCCTTTACTTCATCATTCCACCAATCACTCCTCTTTCCTCCTGCCCCCACCCTCCTATAACCACAAACTTCTGCCCCACATTCTAATACTGCATTTTTAAAACTATTCCAACCCTCTTCAACCCCCCCACTACTCATCTTTGCACTAGCCCACCTTTCTGCCAATAGTCGCTTATATCTCACCCGAACTTCCTCCTCCCTTAGTTTATACACTTTCACTTCCCTCTTACTTGTTGTTGCCACCTTCCTCTTTTCCCATCTACCTCTTACTCTAACTGTAGCTACAACTAAATAATGATCCGATATATCAGTTGCCCCTCTATAAACATGTACATCCTGGAGCCTACCCATCAACCTTTTATCCACCAATACATAATCTAATAAACTACTTTCATTACGTGCTACATCATACCTTGTATATTTATTTATCCTCTTTTTCATAAAATATGTATTACTTATTACCAAATTTCTTTCTACACATAGCTCAATTAAAGGCTCCCCATTTACATTTACCCCTGGCACCCAAATTTACCTACTACTCCCTCCATAACATTTTTAACCCACTTTAGCATTAAAATCCCCAACCACCATTACTCTCACACTTGATTCAAAATCCCCACGCATTCACTCAACATTTCCCAAAATCTCTCTTCTCTCCTCTACACTTCTCTCTTCTCCAGGTGCATACACGCTTATTATAACCCACTTTTCACATCCAATCTTTATTTTACTCCACATAATCCTTGAATTAATACATTTATAGTCCCTCTTTTCCTGCCATAGCTTATCCTTCAACATTATTGCTACTCCTTCTTTAGCTCTAACTCTATTTGAAACCCCTGACCTAATCCCATTTATTCCTCTCCACTGAAACTCTCCCACCCCCTTCAGCTTTGTTTCACTTAAAGCCAGGACATCCAGCTTCTTCTCATTCATAACATCCACAATCATCTCTTTCTTATCATCTGCACAACATCCACGCACATTCAGACTTCCCACTTTGACAATTTTCTTCTTCTTATTCTTTTTAGTAATCTTTACAGGAAAAGGGGTTACTAGCCCATTGTTCCCGGCATTTTAGTTGACTTTTACAACACGCATGGCTTACGGAGGAAAGATTCTTATTCCACTTCCCCATGGATATAAAAGGAAAATTAATAAGACCAAGAACTATTAAGATAAAATCAAAGAAAACTCAGATGAGTGTGTATAAAAAAATGTGTACATGTATGTGTAGGGTGACCTAAGTGTAAGTAGAAGTAGCAAGACATCCCTGTAATCTTGCTATTTATGAGACAGACAAAAGACATCAGCAATCCTACCATCATGTAAAACAATCACAGGCTTCGTTTTACACTCACTTGGCAGGACGGTAGTACCTCCCTGGGTGGTTGCTGTCTACCAACCTACTACTAATAATAATAATAATAATAGTAATAATAATAGTAATAATTTCTTATATAAATCTAAACTGAGAGTTTACACTTGTGAAATACTGTAATATAAAGAGAGTAATAGTAGTCATGAATCTTTTGATATTTGATAGATTGTGAGGGTACAAATGGTGCTAGTATTCCACAACCATTGAGAAAGTGGTAACCCAGAATTTGTATATACACATTATAATGTATTGTTATAATCTTTGACTCTGACACCACGGATCATATTTCTGAGTTTAGTACAGTGTGATTCATGGCAATAATCAAGCTTGTCACAATCCATTAGTTTTACCAAGAATTTTGGTTTCAGGAATAATATGTTAGAGTTAGAGGATTATGCTCACACACTTTCTCATATAAATACATGCTGTACTAGAATATCAAAACTTGCATTGGAAAAAATATCTACTCCATAGAAAGGCATAGTCAAGATTATTTGGATATGTATAAAATTGCAATCAGAATAAACTTTAGGACTTGTGTATAATTGTTAATTATATAAATACAGGAATACAAAACTAAATGCTAGAATTGTGGGTAAAAATGGTGAAGCTTTTGTATTTTTCGCTTTCAGGTTGACCGCCACAACTTCCCTTGTGGCTGTTCTAGAGAAGGCTGTGGTAATGCTTACGGAAGAATAGAGTTTAATCCAATCCGTGTGCGCACTCACTTTATTCACACACTAATGCGCTTAGAGATAGAAAAACGTCAGCATCACCAGCAGCAGCACCAACAGCAACAACACTGGCAGCATCAACAACGAGTCAAGTGGCTGGCTTCTTCTTCGCCGCCACCTAATGGTTTTAGCAGCAGTGGAAGTACCCTGGCAAGTGGGACCCTACCATTCTTTGAGAGCGGAAGGGAGACGAGTGGACTGGCTGTCACCGATATCCACAAATTCAACTCGTCTGTTGAGGTAAAAACTCCTCCAAATCGTTCGGGATTGTTTAGTAGATGTGTAGTATTCTAGATTATTTGGAAGTTATTGGTGTAGTTCAAGAATTTTTTTTTTTTTTTTTTTTTTTTTTTTTTTGGCATAGGTTTATTCATTTACTTACAGTGTAAAATGCTACAGCCCTTGGTTCCCATTTGTTTTCTTGTACAGGGTTTCTGTTAGATATTTGGAGTGAATGATGGTGAAAGTGTTTCTTCTTTTTTTCGAGTCACCCTGCCTCCACAGGAGCCGAATGATGTGTTAAAAAAAAAAACTGATAAGGTGGTAATTCCAGTACAATGCTCAACTAACCCACAGTTTGGAGAAGAAACTTTTGACAACCTTTCATTCCATCCTGGATTATTGTCAAAATGTCATCTAAAAATTTCACTCCATGATGTGGGCTTGTTATGAACTGTTGCAGCCATTATATCTTATCAAAACCACAAGTTTTTGCTAGCATATCCTTTACATTTTATGCTGTTTAACACATGCATACAGTTGTACTGTATCTAAAAAATATTCTTTCATCAAGGGACAAAAAACATCATGAGCAGAACTCTGCCTTTGTATCAACAGATAGGTAATGTACACTTACACATTATTACATGTGTGCACAAAAATTATTTAAAAATATGCTGTTTTTATTGGCATAGTAAGCTATTTCAGTAATATTTTATTTTATGTATATAAATATTTTAGATCTATTGCTTCTGTATTACTGAGAAACTTTGTACATGTACGTATATGTAAATGTAAATGTGTGTAGAATAATGAAAAAAAAAAATATATATATATATTATACTTGTACGTGTGTGCGTGCATGCATATTCAGTACGTGTATTTCAGTATATACAGTGGACCCCCGATTAACGATCTTTTTTCATTCCAGAAGTATGTTCAGGTACCAGTACTGACCGAATTTGTTCCCATAAGGAATATTGTGAAGTAGATTAGTCCATTTCAGACCCCCAAACATACACGTACAAACGCACTTACATAATTGGTCGCATTGGGAGGTGGTCGTTAAGCGGGGGTCCACTGTATATGTAGCATATATACAGTATGTAGACTATAATATACATAGTAATATTTTTGTGGTGTTGGTTATCATTCAATATCGGCCATAAGTTGACCTTTTTGTGTATGTAAAGTATGTGCCCTAATTTACATCCCACGACTTAAAATCTCAAGATACACTTTATTCTTTACTAAATAATAATCAGGATAACACAACATGGAAGATGTAGCAATGCACTAAGTTCTTTATTATTTTGTATACCTAAGTCATGCATTCAGTATAGTTTTCAGATTTGAATACAATTTTTGTGGGGAGGGGGGAGGAGAAAGCAAGATCTGCAGGAACACACTTTCAGAACAAGAAGGGATGAACTTGAGGGTTAGTGGATAGAAGTTTTTGTGTGGGAGATTGCATTAAAATACTACCTATTTTATGTAACAATTAAGATAAATAAAAATTTGAAGAAGAGTGATGACAGATACCAGTGCTTGCCAATTTCCCTTGCTTGGTCAGGACCTGCAGTATATAATTTCCCCCATTATGCAATGATCTGTTTTTATTAATATTTCCTTATGAGTGATATAGATTCTTCATTTGATAAGTGCAGTTCACAGTATTAAGTACATGTATTCGTATTATGCACAATTGAATGTTTATGACCTGAATTAGCTTAGAGCTGTCGTGGGCAGCTTCAATACATAGACGCTGTAAACTTTTGAAACTCAAAGAATGACGACCCACCAAATGACTGACGATGTAGACTTACAATGCATAGATGTAGACTTACAGTATGCATACCTAAATAATGAATATTAGAACTGATTTCCTCTATTCTCTTTATTGCAATATACAGTACACTACTGTATAAACATTTAAAAATATACCAGAAATGTTATAAATGATGCAGAGGTGACATTAAAGCAGTATCAGAGATGGTTGACACAAACCCACTGTCATTATAGTATGCTCCTCACTTAGTGATGAATTCGTTTACCGACATGCTCGTAGGAACGGAACTCCATCATTAAGTGAGGAGACGCTGTACATTATTATGGTAAATAGTCACATTGTAATTCAGTATCATGGTATCTTAGCCAGTGATATTCGGTACCAGCAGTGACTGAAAGAATGAATGGGCTGTAGTTTTGTTTGAGAAAGAGAGAACACTTGGTCTTCTCATACAATGCCACCTGTATTCAGAAGCCACAATAAAGTGCACAAACCATATATCACTACTCTCATTATTATTGCATCATGTTCTTATGAAATTGTATTCAAATCTTGTAAGATAGTGATGAAAACCATTACTTGTACACCCAAGTAAATGAATTTGTTACACGTAATAGTTTAAAACTGCATGTACTTAGTCCTTAATATTTTACATTTTGTAACTTGATGTGATAATAAAAGTATATTATAGTATGGTATGCAGTGATATAATGGATAAAGTTTGTGCATGGAGTCAATTGAGTTTACACCACAAAAAACAAATACACGCATGTTGTTGCTATTGTAATACAGGTTGAGCAAATTTTTTTTTTTAACATGCTGGCCATCTTCCAGTAAAGTAGTGTGATCCACAAGAAGAAACGCTTTCACCATTATTTACTCTTATCACTCTTGCCAGAGGCTTGCTGATACTTCAGTTCAGATGCCCCTCCAAACTGCAAATATCCCCATCCCTCCTTCAGAATGCAGGCACTGTACTTCCCACCTCCAGGACACAAGTCTGTCCAAATGGTTTCTCTGAATCCTTTCACAAAATACTCACTTTTATCTAAAATGCTCACATTCACCTGTTGGATATCCAAGTGCTTTGCACACACAACCTCTACACACAACCTCTACTCACTTTTATCTAAAATGCTCACATTCACCTGTTGGATATCCAAGTGCTTTGCACACACAACCTCCTTTACATCCACTGCAGATTTATACACCCTCTAAGACCTAAGTCATCCTGTTTTGCTCCATCCTCTCTACAAGGGCCAGGCATTTGCTAATTGAGTTAATACATTCAGAAATTCATTGGAAATTTTGGTTGATTTCTGTGATAAGGGTTCACGAAAATTTCACGGAAATCAATTTGACTTGGAACAAGGCTACATAAAAGGCTGACTTTTGATGGAGATTATACTCCCTTGTCTTAATTTCCAGTTAGACTTATGGCTGATAATAAATAATTAGTGTGTTGTATTTATTGTAGCAAATATTTTTTTGCTCCCATTTATTTCAAAAGTTATTTTTTAGGGAGAGGTGCAAGAAATGACAGACATCTTTATATTTGGTAAAGTACTGTATCATCATTGATGGTATAAACCTTGGTATTAGATACCGACAAATTGGTTTAGAAAGACACATGAGCAAACACTAGGACATGTTAGAAAATATTTCGGTCCTGGGACCTTGATCACTTCTAACATACCTCTGTGCATTAGAAGTGGTCAAGGTCTCAGTACTGAAACATTTTTTAATAAATATGTCCTAGTGTTTGCTCACATGTCTTTCTAAATCAATCATCTATGGTACAGTAGGTTATAGACAACTAATGTTGGAAAACTAGTGATGGAGTAATGTGCAGTTAGATGGGTAGCAGTTAATGATATAGGAGGCCCCAACTTAAACACCGAGTTCCATGGCCAAACATACAGACGAGGAACTTAAAACCCAAGGAAAGCTTTCCATCCCCTGAGTTGCAGTGCAAACCTTCATACTGTTGTTTTCTTTGCAAATAACTTTTTTTGTAAGTTGAATAACCAGAATGCAGTTTGTAAGTTGGGAGCCTCTATAGATAATACTCTACACTTGTTAAGGAGCTTCAACACAAATTAGATAAAATTTTATAGGTTTAAGTGATAGGTTTGATGTTATTGATAATTACAAAAGATTGTTCATATTTACCATTATATACCAAAGAATTAATTTGTTGATGCTTTATGAGCATTGTAACTCATGTAATGAGTGCTGGTTATATGAGGCATTGTTGCTAAGCAGTAGTGTTGAAACACATTAGGCAGTTTCTAACTTCATGTAATAACATTTGCTGAGAATGTATAGTATGTATAATCATTTACATTTAAGAAACTAGAGGATAGTAATACACAAGACATTTCTTCATAAACTTTTAAGGAAAATATACTTTCCATGTGTGTGTGTGTGTGTGTGTGTATTTATATATTAATTTATATTTTGTTTGTGTGAAAGACAACATATATGGTTGAAAAAATATATGGTACTATACTGCACATATATTTTCCAAAGGTGAATATCATTACAGTAGTTAGCAATATAGAAGCATGCTGTATTGTGAAGGTTTTCTTTGCATTTGGTGGCAGTGGTAGAGGCCAGTGTTTGGCAAGAATTTTAACCTTGTACTTTTCATTATGTGAAATTTGATTGATCACCTGTGAAATTATTTCATTATTGCCTAGATATGAAATGTGATATCACTTCTTCTCTGTCTTCTTCTGTTTCATATAATAGCTGTCCATTTATACCTGCAAGCCTTAGTAAGGATAATGCCCAGTTTGTGGGGAGATCCTGAAAATCATGCATTACAAGACAGTATTTGCCATGCAGTATTTCTGTGATTTGATTGCAGTAGTTCTTCACGTTTTGACTTGTGCCAGAAGTCTGGGATGTCAGTATCGGCATTTTTGCTTATTGTTCTGTTACCTTTTCCATTTTTCCATGGTCTCACTTGTGTAATTAAAAATTGCCTACCTGTTAAAGGTTTTGAGGATCATTGGAATGGTAAAAAAAAAAAAAAGTTGGCCCAACTCCTGCTACATCCACCCGCTCTTAAGTACTGTAGTATATAAATTCATTCACTAATTCACCCCATACTCCTTCCCATATTTTTACTTGTCATCTTTTTTTTTTTCCATAAACACACATGCAAGCAGGCACAGAATTATACACAAAAATCACAAGCACCTTTTTACAACAGGAAACAAGACAA